CAACAGTTGTGTGATCCGAAACATGGTACAGTTCCCAAGATTGTTGAGAGAGATAGAGAGAGAGAGAGAGAGATCCCAAGACTAGTGGGAGCTCAAGATTGGTGGAGGCGCCCGGCGAGGCTCTTTAAGACTCAGCGTGGTGGTCCCAAGACGAGCGTGGGTCTCAACACGTGGTGGTGTAGAGGAGAGGAACGCGCGGGGGCATTGATCCAGGGGGCCGACCTTCTTTGTCTTGCAACGATCAATGTTTAGACGTAAATCCTCACTCTCGCTGACCCCTTACCCTTCTGCTCTTCTAATTCCTCATGTCTTCACCTCCTCATGTTTTCACCTCCTTATTCCTCATGTCTTCACCTCCTTATTCCTCATTTTTACCTCCTCATTCCTCATGTCTTCACCTCGTCATGTTTTCACCTCCTTATTCCTCATGGCTCTACCTCCTCATTCCTCATGTTTTCACCTTCTTATTCCTCATGTCTTTACCTCCCCAGTCCTCGTGTCTTCACCTCGTCATGTTTTCACCTCCTTATTCCTCATGTCTTCACCTCCTTATTCCTCATGTCTTCACCTCCTTATTCCTCATGTCTTTACCTCCCCATTCCTCGTGTCTTCACCTCCTCATTCCTCATGTCTTCACCTCCTCATTTCTCATGCCTTCACCTCCTCATTCCTCATGTCTTCATCTCCTCATTCCGCATGTCTTCATCTCCTTATTCCTCATGTCTTCACCTCCTTAATTCCCATTCTCATGTTTTCCTCCTCCTCATTCCCCATGTCTTCCTGTTTCTTGCCCCTAATGTCTTCGCCTCCATTGTTCTCATTTCTTCGCCGTTTTCTTCTTCTTATACCTTTACCTTCTCATTCTTCTCATTTCTGATACCTTTCTTCTTCTAATTCCACACGTCAGCACTCTCCCTTATTCCTTCTCTTTCTGATATATCTTCTCTCTTTACTTCCTCTTCTTTCTGGTGTGTGTGTGTGTGTGTGTGTGTGTGTGTGTGTGTGTGTGTGTGTGTGTGTGTGTGTGTGTGTGTGTGTGTGTGTGTGTGTGTGTGTGTGTGTGTGTGTGTGTGTGTGTGTGTGTGTGTGTGTGTGTGTGTGTGTGTGCTTTGACTATTATTGTTTTGTTGATGTTGGCTACTGTATGTGGGCTAACTACTGTGTGTGAAATTACCTCCTGCCATAGACCATCTTGTGAAACATTGTAAAACTAAACGACTTCTAATTTATGTTGTTATTATTATCCAACTTATTTAGTGTAGCGCTCTCTCTCTCTCTCTCTCTACCATCACCATGTCTGCGTGTTGTGAGTTACGTTTTTTTTTCTCTGCCACAACTCGCATCATCTTTGGAACTTATCTGGGACATAGATATTTTTACAAACTTTTAATGTAGTGTTATTTGTCTTCATGTATCATCTTTCTTCTTCCTTGTGTATGTCCTGTTTTTTCTCTTTTTTGTCATCGTCGTCTTCATCATCCGGTTCGTCTACCAGGCATCACCCCTTTAGTGTTATGAGGTTGTGTTATTTTTGTGTGTGTGTGTCTTGTCGTTTTCATAATTCAGTTACCTGTACTTGTGTGTCGCTGGGAGTTGGTACGTGCGCTTTATTCCGTCCTTGATTCTATCAGCTCAGATCATCCTGGACCATTGTCAACTGTAGTCTCGGCCGTGTGTGTGTGTGTGTGTGTGTGTGTGTGTGTGTGTGTGTGTGTGTGTGTGTGTGTGTGTGTGTGTGTGTGTGTGTGTGTGTGTGTGTACCGATGCGTGCTTGCTTTGTATTTACTTTGGAATCCCTTCATACATTTTACAAGTCTTACAAGCTGAGTTTGGGTTTCATGCCATAAGTTGGAGAAATTTGAACGAGCTTTAGTGAAACTTGGTACAGTATTATGTACACTCGCTTAGATTCAGGTATTCTGGCTTATGATTGGATAAAATTCTAAACTCTCTTACAGGTTTATTAAACAACTGACTCACGCGAAACTTAGACTACACATAACATTAAAGGTTTGTATGTCTGTGAAGATTGATGTACTGGGTACATAGTTGAACACGTTATATAATGAGTGAAATTTCTGTTTACTAATTATAAATTCTGGCTCCTGATTAGCATCACTTCCTAAACATTATCGAAGGTTTCCTTAGCCTTTGATCTCCATGACAGTTTACTATATTTAGATGCCATAAAAAGCTTCTTACATATTAGGTGAGATCTGCGGTGACTAATTACCGTACACATTATAATAAGCAATATTAAGATCCAAACACACTGAAAAGCTTAGTTAGCGGCAGATTTTCATATAACTTAACGCAATTGTTTCTCTCCCAAACTTCAGTCGAGTCTGTTTGTGTTATTTTCTAATATTCAACATGGCCGCTATGACAGCCATCTTGAAATTCAGGTACCTAAGTTTAGTGAGTGGATTGTACGTAACTTTTAAAGCTCGACTTAATGTGTTACCTGGAACAGCTCATTAAGGATATTAAATTGTAAAGCATTCATCTATTTGCATTTTAATTCGTTGACACTTTGTGCATGATAATTTGACTAACTCTGGTCCAGTTTTCATGACTTTTACATAATGACAAATAAAACGGAGGCGTAAAGTGAGCTTGATGATGAAGATTCTGCATGTATATATTATGAAATCTGTACGTTCGGCTGATTTACGTGTTCTGTTCTTAAATTCACTAAATCTGGTCTGAATTTGATCAAACATTGAAAACTAATTTAGAATGTTTAGACCCAGGACAAGTTCAGTGCCAGAGCCGCTATACACCCACATGTAATTAAGTTGCTGCGTTCAGATTACATGACTGTCTCCTGCCTGGGATTTAATGTTCCTACTGTGGTCGTCCCCAGCCTGCTGATACAAGGCTCCCGAGGACCTCTTGTTGTATTTTAACCTTATCACTTTATTTCTTGAACCACTTCCTTCATCTTAATATTCGGAAACTGTTTTATCTATTACCTTTATCTTCAGACGTCTGGCCTCACCTTGACGTGTATAGTATTACGAGGGGTGGGAATATATATTTTGTTTTGTTATATATTTCAGAAAGTCGGGAACTCTTCCATGATTGACTTAATGTCAGGCTTGATATATTGCTTTACTCATTAGTTTTCACTTGACGTGTTTCATATTTAGGTTTATTTTTCCGGAGTAATTAATTTGGGAATTTTAGCCTCATTCAATAATTGAAATTAATGAATATTTTATTCAGCCTTAACATCAGACAAAATGATTTTAATTTGTTTTTGAGTATATATAAACAGTTGTGTGTTAATCACACTACTAATAAATAAATAAACAAATGAAAACACACACACACACACACACACACACACATATATATATATATATATATATATATATATATATATATATATATATATATATATATATATATATATATATATATATATATATATATATGTGTGTGTGTGTGTGCCTTGTCAGTACTCTCGAATTAGCCCGACTGCATACCGAAGCAGACAAGCAGCACGTCGAGAAGACGCTGCCGCCGCCCCTCCCGCACTAGATGTAGCCCTCCACACGTGCAACATCTGTGGACGACCCTGCCGGTTTCGTATCGGCCTCTCGAGTCACCTCAGAGCTCATCAACGAAGGTGACATCCTTAATAACTCGTATCATTGTATGATCGTTGGATGATCGTCATATTCATTTCAGAGTGACAGCAAAGTAGTAGTGGTAGTAGAAGTAGTAGCCTGGTACACGGATGGACGACAACAGACTTTCACTGGCCTTCATCCATCTACTGTAGCTGCTGTCACATCCCATCGTGCTCTTCTCTTATTCACTATCATTCACGAGTTCTGTCCATCCCCGTCACTTACAATTCTTATTTTATTCCATCCTCACATTTACTTAATCTTCCCTCTCCCTCCAACCCTCCACCTTTCAATTATATACTTTTTACCTGGCTTTCAACTTTCAACACTTTCAATAGGTCTTTATCACCTACGTAAACCTGTTGTCTCATAGTCACCCTCTAATGCCATTTCTGTCTTTTTTCTTTATATTTTCTCTTTCATCCCTAGTTTATGTTTATTGTACTGTAATATCATCTCAACAACTACACTCCACTTTCCCAACTCTCTCTCTCTGATGTACACAAACTAGCACCATTTTTTTTATTACCAATTTTCCTTCTGTTTTGCATATATTTCATAAGGAATAGTTAGTTGGCGGGCGAGAATTATCTTATATATAAAACGTGTGTAAAATCCTGCTATTATTTTGATACATTATACACAACATACAATCATACATTATAGGCTACACAACGTACATAATACACAAGCTAATACAGGTGTAAATAATATGTATATAGAGTAGAGGTATACATTGTTTATACTGGAGTGTTGCGTGTCATGTGCCAGTTAGTTTTCGCCAACCCTGTATGATAGTGTTTCCCCTCTCTGTATCGTGAGTGTTTGAAACAAGTTATGACAGCGCTGTTACTTGTTCCTTGTGCTCCTACATGTTCCAGACAAGTATCCAAACAATATCTGACCTTGAAATTCTGCAGCCATGTTGGTTTACACACATTTGTCATGACTGAAGTTTACAAAGCTGTCCTGTGATCATTAATTTAAGCTTAGCCTTTTTTGGTGTGTGTGTAATTATGTTGCATCAAAAGTGAAGACCGAGTTAGAATGTAAAGAGCGCTTATATCTGGACTTGTTCACGGGGTCTAAGTTGGCACGATAGTGTGTGTGTGTGTGTGTGTGTGTGTGTGTGTGTGTGTGTGTGTGTGTGGGTGGTCAAAATTTAATGTCATGTCTTTGAAGCTGTACGGTGACTTAACATTGTCATGACTTATAATTTTTTAGGCCAGCTTTATTAACTAACATGCTGAACGTGAATCACATTTTTTATTATTATTATTACTTTAAATTTTGTATTATTTTTGTCATTTTATTATTATTATTATTTCACGATTTTAATATTGTTATTATTTATTTTTCACCTTTTTCCGTAACTGCTGTAGGTGGCGTTATGCCTTATTAATATATTTCAAAGTTTATTATATAGACTGTCTTGATTTACCTCCGTCATCTCGCCTGATATCCTTTGTCTTCATTCTTGTCCTACCACTTCCACACACCCCCTCCCCCCTTGCCATCCACCGTCTCTATTTTTTTTTACCGTATTCATTCCATCTCGTTCCCCCACACTCTTCCCGTCTCTTTCTCAGTCCTCTGTTTATTCACCCAACTTCCTTTTCCGTTCTAAACTTCACCCTCGTCTTCCCCCCTTCCCTCCCTTTCCGCCTTTCTCTTTGCTCGGTACAGCACAGTGTCAACCAACATATCCTTCAGAGTCTGATAGCTGTATTTGATGAGTGGTGAGCCGCGTTTTTTGAGGCCGTTGGTGTGTGTGGTGGTGTCTCTCGCTCTTGGTTACCATAGGTGTGGTGGTCCCTGGTCTGTGGTTCACTCTTGTTCACACTTGATATTTTTGGCAGTGTTGACTTGTTACGGATGGGTTTTTAAGTAGCTGACTCACCAATTTGTTAAGTTAATGGGTAAAGTAAATGGTCTTGTTAGGTTTTGTGTATAAAGATTGTTTGTTAGTTTATTTATTTTTTGTATTTCTGTTGCCCAGTTTCGTTTCATTTCGTTTCCTTTGGTGTTACTTCCTCCCCGTGAATGTTATCGTTGTGATACATAGAATAATACGGTTCTCTTTTTCTCCCCAGGTAAGAAGATGAAGTGTTGTTGTAGTGGCAGCTGACCCGAGTCACCCCAAGCTGGTCAGTGCCATCCTCAACTGCTTCACCACCTGACGAGGAGCTAAGTTCCCTTTGCCGTGGTTCTTGGTGTAGATTTACAAGCTGGTGGTGTGAATTTTCTGTGACGCATGTAAGAGTTCCCAAACATTTTATGTACAGTTACGAACAGAATTCCCTTAACACTTGGCTGTGTCTGGTATGTAAGTACTTGGTGAGAGGAACTGGGATTTAGACGTATTTTTTCATGTTTTTCTACATATAAGGAGATTTTTTTCCGTTTTTTTTTCCATTTTGTGGTTTCCATGTGATGTGACCCAGAAGTAGATGCCAAATATTGCCAAGTGTTTAGGAAATTTTGTCCTCAGCTGTACTTATACTTACTAATATAAGTTCGATATAACATTGTAGTATGGTGTGTAGCATGAATTCCTGAAGCAGGTATGGAATGATCGTGGGGCGATGAGTAACACACTAGTAGGTATTGTCGAAGAAGATTACATGGTTTATGTGGCGGGGTTTGGGAGGATGATTGTTGTAATTACTACGAGTACATAATGTGTCGCTTTACTGTGTTGTTTATATTTATTACCGTTAAACAATATCTCTACTAAGGTGTTAACGTGGAGGTATGACCATTTGGTAAGTAGGGGTCTTCATACCTGGATATGTGTGTGTATGCAGGTATGTGTGTGTTTTTTACACGTAAATTTACGTATATTTTATGCGGGTGTGTGTGTGTGTGCATATTCAGATGTTTATGCATGTGCTGATGTGTACCTGCCTTTCCTTACCTTCATGTAGGTGCATTTATTCACGCCGACGTCAACCATTGTGTGTGTGTTTCTGTCAGGGACAGTTAATGTAGGTGGCGAGTGGGCGCCATTCATTGTGTAGTAACACAGACAACAACCCTCACCGAAATATTGCTGTAAGAGACACTCAGCGTCCTCCACGTTGTATTAATTATCTCACCTTGAATGAAACCGCTAACACCAGCGACTCGTCCAGGATCTTATCACAGGCGCCCTTTGCTCTCTAACATATAGTAACTGTATAACAAAAAGATGAAACTGAACTTTAAAGCCACTTTACATTTAACTGCTACACTTTCCTTTTCATGAAGAGGTTTTAAGGTTTTTATTACGTCTCTTAAACCAGTTTTACTTAAAGGTAACTGGTACGGCCAGCCGCGTCATCGTGGTTGCTTCTGCCACAAAAACTTGCCCGTGAACCCAGCTCTTACCAGCAGGATTTGATCTGAACTCTGCATTTTGGATTCATTACTTCCGTACTTTTACTAGCGGGAGTGTGTTGGTGGAGCGCCAGTGTGCTATAACACTGCCTCTCTGGTGTTGTAGTTTGACGTTTGTTGTGGTGGCCTCCGTCGTTTTACTGTTGGCATGGTACTGGTGGGGTGTGAGTGGTGTGGGTGTGTCGTGAGGATGCTTCCCTCTATTGGGATAGTTTGGAATTTATTGTGTGGCTCCTTCATGCTCCACAGTATTTCACTTGCCTGGGTGTTGCTTTCACATTTTGCATTTGTTTCAACGGAGTCATATGGGTTGAAAGAAAATAGATTGGTCCAGTCGTGTCTGTAGTCAACACTCCCTCTGTGGAAGGTGCTCCATGTGACGACTTTTTCTACTGTCCCAACATTTGCATATTTCTGTGTGCTCAGAGCTAACATCCCTCTCACCTGCATTGTGCCTTGATACGATACATTTCCCCATGTCTCTCTTCAACTCTTGTTCATTCCTCTCCCCTCCGTTCACTCCAGTCATTCTCCCCTCACTCCAGTCATTCTCTCCACTTTCTCTTTAGGTGTCCTTCATTATCATCCATCCCCTGTCCTTACTACCAGTCTTTGTGTCCTTGTCATGTCTCTCCTTCATACTCATCTCTCACTCACAACTTTTGACAACAGGTCGAACAGTCTCATTAGTAGAGTTTAATATAAATACGAAGACAGTGTCGTCTCAGTTCCCTTAATAGAGGAGTAGTCACACCTTACAACACACACACACTTGCTAAACTTGTACATTAATGTTATGGTCACGTTAAAAGGAAAAATAATGAGTAAATAAAATTTGAAATTAATACTTCGTCATATTTTTTGTTCTATGTAAAGCGCACGAAACAGCATGAGTATTCAAAAACCAGGATTAATTATCCCTTTTATCACGAAGCTGAAATATGCAAGTAATTACACACAGAACGTTGTGAAAACTGGTGGTCATTCCATTGAACCATACTTTATTACTTCATTACGTTGCTCTCAAAAGTGTGAGGCGGCGAGCACCAGGTAGCGAGTGTTAATTATGGGAAACGTGTTACTTTTTGTTTAGAAAGGGGCGCCACACGTGTCAGGGGGGTGGGTGGGTCGGGTGCCAGGAACAACAACAGTGCAGCACCAGCCAGTCAGCAGCAGTCTATATATTCTACTGATGTAAAGCTTAAAGGGACCACCTGAAAAATCTCCACTCCGCTTAAAGTTATTATTAAATATATACAACAGATATTTGCTCCGTTTGTATTCTAAAATTGGTCTCCCTTTATACTGCACTACACCACACATTTAGAGCAGACATAAACTGTATGGTAGTTGTATTTGAGTGGAATTATCCGTCCGTGAGTGAGTAATTGCCGTGAGTTAATTTTAGTCTTCTTAATTTAGATTATCATATAGTCGTGTTTAAATCATTATATTATACGTGTATGTCGCTAAAACATAAGTTCCCTCCGCATTAAATGAGTTTGCTCAAGGGTCGTGAGATGGACACCTTTATGTCAACCTGATATAATTAAGTCATTTTTGGTCGGTTGATAACTTGTCTTTGGTATTCATGTCGCTCACCCTCCGTAACAAATTAATTCATTCATCACGTAATAGCAGTAATTCACTCATGACTTTTCCCAAATATTTTATCTGTGGTGTGTTGAGGCGTTGACGTGGAAACCATCTTGGCGTTGGTCACCTAGCTTCCTGGACCAGGTGTGAAGAGGAGGTGGAGGCCGTCACAACACACAGGACGCTCATCTCCTCCCTCACGCCACATATCGACAAGTGACTCCTGGAAATCAGTGTTGGAGATTTTCCGCCATTGTGGGTGTTTTGAGGTCTGGCGGGAGGGTATAAAAGGTAGTGTGAGCACCTTGTAGTTGTTTGCCTTCTGAAATTTTATCGTGGACTCGTTAATGATGGAAAGTTGTGGTGCTGGTGGTTGGTATTACCTGTTCACATGCACGTACAAGTTTATTAAGATGTTTTGAATAAAGACGAAAGCTAAGGTGCTCCGTTGTTTCCCTTTTCCCCGAGTGATTTTATCAATATCTTCTTTTCTTGCACATGACAATTTTTTCCAGTAACCAGATTTTGGCCACCCTGAGTATGCGATGATCACTATAATACGACACATTTATTTAATCACCAAGTAGAAATATACAGTGTAAGTTAAATAGAATACTGGTCCTGTGTTTGTACTGAAGATATAGTGTGTTGACTACGAGGGCTCAGCTGTAGTGCTCACACCTGGGTAGCCGTATAAATTAGTCAACATTGTTCAGTTGTTCTCAGAACTGAGGTTATTAATGTAAACAGTAATATCCAATTACCGAAACTTGGCGTGCACTGACGAACTGGTATATTAGACGTCGTCCCCTCTGCTCTATTAGACATAGTAACAGACAGATAGTAATAAAGGCGGTGCTCCTTAACCCCCCCCCCCTCCCCAGTTGGGATACCTGGCATTAATTAAACCAGCCCCGGTGGAGGGAAGATCCTCCACCTTACCTGTGTTCTACCGCTCACACTAATGGGATGGGTGATGCTGTAATTACGTAAATAAACATTTTGAACTTTAGTAAGTATATACAGTATTCATGGTTGACGTGATCAGTGTTTGCGGTGTTGCTGGGAGAGATGGGACTGTGGGCTGGGTTGGGTATATTGGTAGTGGATGGATCTGACTTGCTAGTAATCTTACCTGGAGCTGTATGTCATTTGGTAATCTCTGCCAACATGAATGGAGTCGTGTGCAATCCGATATGTGTAATGTCAGATGTGTCCATCAGTTTGTTATTATCCTGTGTGAGTAAGCTCTCGTCCCTGTTGTAAGGCCGGTGTGTGTGTGACGGTACACCATTAACCTTGTTACCCTCCCGTGTACCTTGATGCTTCCTCCTCGTTCTCACGTTCAGACACTATTAGGGACCTACCGCACATTACCTTAAACACATGAACCTGTAGTAGGAGTCCTTCCTATGTACAGTGAGAGAATGACTCCCGGGTTTTGACGAATATATCGCATGTAGTCTCGATAACGCTTGTATAATCTGCCAGGTTTCATTATATTTCGGCCAAAGCTGGGAAGATACTTCAATCTCTGCCTGTACATTTAGCCTTCCTTTACTACATGTACAGGAAAACTCCCGACCTTTCAAAAATTTAATTCTAAGAAGGCAAGCACCAACTCTACATGCTTGTCTGTTGGCCGCTACAGGATGGAAGAGGGAAGGGTTACGCATCAAACCAGCCCCTGCTTCTGCGTGGGGCAAATCTGAATATGAAATCTCGCCCTTTCCGAATTTCTGTAAGCCATCCTTATAAGCAAATCATCATCACTCTTTCTTATTTTCTCTTATGTATTATATAAGTTCCTTCTTCTGCGTATCTTCGGTAAACTGATGAGAAGACAGATGTTAATGATGTGGGTGTTTGATTGTAGCCGATGCGGGTAATGCGTGATGTGGGTGTTTGATTGTGTAGCCGATGCGGGTAGTGCGTAGACCTTGAGCGTTTAATGTCATCAACAGCTAATTGTGGTGTATATAGACACGGCGATGTTTCAGGCGTTAGCGAGGATCTTTTACGAGTGTCATCATGTGGGTAGGAGCTCCGTGTTGCCTCGCTTCAAGGGTTTAAGAACCTCCCTTTACATGACCCGGGGATTGGATGCTGTAGCTGCGTCAGAGTCAACACATTAGGGAACTGAGAGACATATTAAACCAGATCTTGACGTAATGAAGGAATTAGGTGAATTTGTGTAGTTGTTGTTTTGTTATAAGGTTGTGACAGCTGTATGAGATTATGACAGCTGGGTGGGGTTATGGCAGCTGGATGGGGTTATGACA